ATTAACTCAATCATTATAAGTAACTAACTAATTAACTCAATCATTATGAGTAACTAACTAATTAACTCAATCATTATTAGTAACTAACTAATTAACCCAATCATTATTTGTAACTAACTAATTAACTCAATCATTATTAGTAACTAATTAACACAATCATTATTAGTAACTAAGTAACTCAATCATTATTAGTAACTAATTAACTCAATCATTATTAGTAACTAATTAATTCAATCATTATTAGTAACTAATTAACTCAATCATTATTAGTAACTAACTAATTAACTCAATCATTATTAGTAACTAATTAACACAATCATTATTAGTAACTAAGTAACTCAATCATTATTAGTAACTAATTAACTCAATCATTATTAGTAACTAATTAATTCAATCATTATTAGTAACTAATTAACTCAATCATTATTAATAACTGACTAATTAACTCAATCATTATTAGTAACTAATTAATTAACTATCAGTATTTGTGGTAAAAAAAAGTTAAATACTAGCAGCACTATCAGGTTGTTTTTCATTTTATATTTTTTCATTGTGTGTGTGTGTGTGTGTGTGTGTGTTGCATTGTAAGGCCCATTTTTCTACCTTGTACTACATACTGTAGCTCCGGGACATGCAGGTGAAGGACTCGCTGGTCACCTGGATCAGAGTCTACCTCACAGGTCGACCACAGTATGTGAAGCTGCAGAACACCACCTGGGACACCATGCTGAGCAGCACAGGAGCTCCTCAGGGCACGGTTCTCTCACTGTTTCTGTTCCTCTACACCTTGGACTTCAGGTCCACCTCACAATCCTGCATCTGCAGAAGTTCTGGATGACTCTGCCATTGAGGGCTGCACCACTGGTGACCAGGAAGCTGAACACAGAGGTGTGGTGGACAGAACCACCTGCAACTCAACGCTGGAAAAACTAAAGAGTTGCAGGTGGACTACAGGAAGAAGATCAGCCCCCCAGCCCTATCAACATCAAGGGTACTGAGGTGGACACTGGACTGCTACAAGTACCTGGAGGTCCACCTGGACAATAAACTGGACTGGACAGCTGACACCAGCACCTCTACAAGAAAGGACAGAGCTGCAGATGTTTCACTACTCAGTGGTTTCCAGTGTCTTCTTCTACTCTGTGGTGTGCTGGGGCAGCAGGGTGAAGACAGACATGATAAGCTCATCAAGAGAGCTGGTTCAGTTCTGGGAGTGGACCTGCAGTCTCTGACAGAGGTGTCTGAGCAGAGGATGCTGAGGAACCTGCACCAGATCCTGAACAACACGTCACACCCCCTGCAGGACACCCTGGACTCGTACTGCAGCACCTTCAGTCGTAGACTGAGACCAAAAGGTGCTCCACAGAACAACACAGGAAGTCCTTCAAACTTTTCATCTCCTCCCCTTTTCTACACAACAATTAATCCTGAACCACAATAAACACTTTAATGCTTTCACATTAAAACATTTCACACATGTCTGCACCTGTTTAGAACTTAATGTTGGTATTTTTATATTTTCTGTTATTTTTTATATCTTGTGTGATTCCTTGTGTTTGTTCCTTTGTACTGAAACTCTGACACAACAATTTCCTGCAGGATCAATAAAGTTCTATCTGATCTGATGAGGACCAACAGGTTCTTATGGGGCCCAAAGCCCGGGCCCCATAAGAACCTGTTGGTGGGTTTAGGTTTAGGACTAAGGTGTGAAGTGAAGATGAGTTGGACTGCAGAAATAAACAAAAATGAATGGAAGTCTGTGCAAAGTCCCTATAAAGATAGAAAGACAAACTTCTGTGTGTATATGTATATGTGTGTGTGTGTGTGTGTGTGTGTGTGTGTCACTGTGTGTGTGTGTCACTGTGTGTGTCACTGTGTGTGTGTGTCACTTTGTGTGTGTGTCACTTTGTGTGTGTGTGTCACTTTGTGTGTGTGTCACTTTGTGTGTGTGTGTCACTGTGTGTGTGTGTGTCACTGTGTGTGTGTGTGTGTGCGCGTGCGCATGTGTGGGGACTTCCTGAACTGTTTGTGTCTCTCTCTGTTTAACGGGGACGTTGCGTCCTGTTTGCTCGCTCTGTCCTCGCTTCACGCGTTAATAACGACGAACCGTCTGATGTTTGTTAACGATTAGTTCGGATCGGTTCCGCTCACGTGTAAAAGCCACGATTATGAGCCGTATTTATTGTTCCATTTGCAGGTTTTGTGAGCGTGCTGGAGTCATCGTTGATGATTGGGGTCATGGTCCTGTGAGTTTCAGGCTGATGAAGGTCCAGGACTTGGTCTGAGATGTCTCGGCATCAGGAGAAAGTGGAGACACTCATGAAGGCGCCGCTCTGATCGGACCTTCAACCGCTCCGCTGGTTCTACACAGACAGAACCTCTTCAGATTGTTCCCTCTGGTTTGGAGGTCAATGGTAAGGATCCACTGGTGCAAAGTGATCTGCTGCAGCGGTGGAGCCGAGTTTATCTTAATTTTATTTGGTTTTATTTACATTTTAGTGAAATATTTGTTTATTACGCACGTTCTTTCTCCATGACGTGTTACTTTAGTCATTAGGTCCGAGTCTTTAGAGGCGTGTGTGACATGACTTCTGCAGCGAGTCCTCTCTGTGACCTGAGGGTCTGTGGCCCTCAGAAGAACCCAAACTCAGGAGCTCCTGGACCCGACAGGCCTCGTTAGCAGGCCAAAGGCCTCTTCTCTCTATAACAAAATTACAGCAAGATTTCTGGACCAGAACCAGACCAGAGGACAGATGTTTACCCAGAATTCACTGCAGCAAACAGCTCCTCCAGCTGTCAGCACGGAGGTGGAAGCTGGTGGTTTGGGCTCCTGTCAGTCTCTGAGTAGACCAGAACTCTTCTGGAGACTAACGGGTTCTGGAGACCAACAACTGAAGCTTGGGCCAAACTGGGTCCAACAGAACCATGTTCCAGAACACTGCAGCTGATCTAAAACAGAACGGGTCTGAAAGACCAGAACCAACCGTCTAATTATAGTCCAGAACCTCAGCCTTACTGAAACTCAGTGGTGGACCTTCAGAGAGCTGAGCAGAACGCTCAACAATAGAAAGCAGGGTGGGCCAGAACTCCTCCAGAACCAGGAGAGACAAATAGAGCAGTTCTGGTTCTGCAGGAGGTTCTACAGGCTGCTGGGTCAGGATCGGGAACTTTATTCATATTTTTTATATTTGGTTTAGTTTTTGAGATCTGTCACATGTTGTTGATGTTTTCAAACCCGTGTTCGTTCTCTTCCTGAAACGTTCTCAAACAGAACTGGACTTCGGTTCTGTTTGTGAGGACGTGCGGGCCTGGACAGCAAAAGCTTCTCGGACGGAGACAAAATGTCTTCAGCATCGACATCTGGTTGGTGCGTACTTCCTGATGATCAGCTGTTGGACTCTCTGAGGTCAGCTCACCCTTCAGGACCGGACCGCCCAGTTGTTTCTGCGTTCTGTGGCGTTTCAGTGAAACCAAACTGTTGCAGCAGCTCGGCTGCGTTGACTTCGAGCAGTTTTTGTCGACCTCTTCTCGCCACCTGCCGGTTCTCTTCTTGCTGCCCGCAGGTTTGATCGAAGCATGTTTCGCTGACAAGTTTTGTTTTTTGCTCATCCGCCTTCTTCAAAGCTTTTGTTCTGTTATTTGTTGAGCTTCAGCCCTGGATGTTAATGAGAGCGCTGCACTAATGCATGAGCTCCGACAGACATAAAAGACATTATATTGAGGAGAACGGCGCTGAAATGAATGGAACGGGCTTGAAGCTCGGTGGAATACATTTCCAGCAGCACAATAAGATGCACCCTGATCTATCTGCAGCCTGGAGCCCATTCAGAGCTTCTGCATCGTCTCTGGATCTTTTTAACCTCTAATGGTCGGATGAGTCTTCAGATGAAGATGAGATGAGTTTGTCTGTGTGCCGTGTGAACGCTGGGCTTTTTGATATGCAGAGCGGCGGCGGCTCGTGTTGGACGGCTCGCAGCCGAAACCTTTCTGTGTGTGAAATTATAATAATCTTCCTTTAGAGTCTTCAAAGCACTTTACAGGAAATGCAAATGGCCGCGTCGGCAAACTGAACCCTCGTAAAAAGTAAAATATCAGAAGTGTGACAGCAAACCCTGGCACAGATGAATGAGCAGGTCTTGGCTCCACGTCAAGTAGAACCGGAGCACTTCCTGTGTTACGACGTGTCGTCCGGTAAAGTGAGAGCCGAAGGAGCTGCCGATGTTTTCTACTGATTGGGAACCTCAGAGGAGCAGATGGACGTCCACCTCATCGAATAAAGGATGACTCATGCAGTGATTTGTGGCTTCGCCTCAGTGACATCATCAGCATCAGCACCGTCCGCTTGATGCCAGAACATCTCCAAACAGAACGAAAACCGCTGTCGACACGACAAAAAGTCTTTACAGACAACCGAAGCGACCCCTTCAGGCTGCAGGAAGTTCAGTTCTCACTTTTTGAAATTTGTTCCTTCAAATGAAGCTTGTTCAGCTGATCCAAAATCTGGTTCTTTCTATCCTGATCCAAACCTCCTGACTGTAGGGTTAGAACCTAGATGGGCCAGTAAATCCAAAGCTTTGCTCCTTCACCACAACCAACCGGAGCGACACTCACATTTCTGTAAGTGAGTGATAGATGGTTGATTGTTGAACGTGTAGTTTCAGTTGTTCTTGCTTGAGGTGCTAGAGGTAACGTGAGGTCTGGAGGACATCATGTCACCTGCAGGTCCTCTTTGTCTGAGCGGCCAAACGGGCCGAGCCTTTTGACGGGACGTCCTGATAGAAGGTGAGGTCAAACAGAAAACATCTCCAAGTCGTTAACAATGATTGTTTTCCTGCTTCAGCTTTAAATTAATCAACTAAACGATGACATTCTTTGTTTTTTTAACAAAGATTAATTTATTTTATTGCTCTTATATGAAATTAATTTAGTTTGTGTAAAGTTTGGCAGAGTTTCTGCAGGAGTGGTGCTGCTGGCTGCCCTTCCTGCAGGCCTCCATGGGACGGATCGTTTGGAAGATGACAGGACTTGCCAACAAATTGCATCATTTCTGGCTCAGTGGACGAGGATAAAACCCCGCCATATGCCCACCGGGTGGAGTGGGGGGTCAGGGGGGAGGGATGAATGGGTCTTCTCTGCGGATCCAAACTGTGTCCCACGTCCAAAGGGCTGGACTGCCAGCAGCTAAACGATCTGAAGCACGAGCTAACAACAACAGTTCTGATGTTTCATCAGTCTCTGAAGTTATTTACCAAGTCAGCTCTGAGTAATCGACCTTCGGATGGAAAAATAGGCCTCGCATTTTTTTCTGTATTTATTTTTGTATTATTTTTGGGCGTCGTCAATAATCAGTCATTCCTGACAAAGCCAAAAACTAGTTCTGATTTTTTAAATGTTGTCAGAATTATTTTCAAATTCTAACTACTGCCCTCACGGGGTCCTGAGGGAAACAACTGACCACATTGAAATCCATTATAAATACATTTCTGGATCAATATTTACCATATCAACAAAACAATGTGTTCCTTTTAGTAATATTTTTGTTTAGGTTACTTTTATCCCTCTACTTTGATTTTAATATTAGCCCATTAGTTGGTGCTCCTCCTTTACATGTGAGGGATGCTGTAAAAATCCCAACGTTGGCTGAACTTACCTGAAGACGTGCGTCCATCATGAGTGGACCTTCCTGTGGAGTCCCGTCTCTCAGCTGGTCCGACGAAACTGTTTGTGTGAATGTAAAGAGCAAAAACACACTTGCTTTGTGCACGAGTAAACATTTGGTACAGAAATCAGAGACACGTGAACCCAAGCTGAAGAAGTGACGACTCCCGGGGCTGAGCCCGACTGACTCCTGTTGGCTTGACCCA